GTTTGACTCTGCGTGCTGATGGGACTGTATTTGTATGAGTATCACGGACACACAGACGAGTGTTACGGTTAATGACAGTTTCCCCCCCCCTATGCCGTGGTGTTCGAGGTGTGTCTAGGGGCAGTGGGGGGTCCACCTTTATGATAGCGCCCTAAGTGGTCAGTAAGCCAGATGTCGAGGCCCTCAACAACGTTCCTCTTTCTGCCCATTGGAGAAGCATTTGTATTCGATAGAAAGTTCTCTGCCTTGGTGCGAACGGCTGCAATCACTGCCACACGACGACGACGACCAGTGCTCTGTGCAGGACCTCGTGAGAGAGGGAAAACTCACATTCCTCTGCGCCAATCCCAGCCATGTTGAGACAGGTCCGGGTTCCTCGCGCGTCATTTGAGGACGTAGCGCATGTGTGTCTGTGTGTGCGTATAGGTAAGTAGGGGCTGCCGCACGGCTACCGAATGAGCCACGGACCTGAGGAGCAGACAGAGGCCGTCAGACAAAGATGTCAGGCATTCAAAAAGCCTTACGTAGAGGTGGGATGAGCCCACACACAGAGACACAGACGCAACCTGGCCTCTTTCCCCCACTCCAATAAATGTTCTTTGTGTCGTGTCGGTGTCTGCAGGTGATGGACCTTCTGCGTGAGCGCCATCAGGGCCCCCAGACATACGACGGCGTGCTCATCGACGGCCGCTTCCACCTGGCCTGTCTCATCCAGGCCCTCAAACACACATCCCCCCTGCAGAGCACCGTGATGCTGCACGACATCGGGCGGTACATATCGTTCATCAAAAATGACCTGAAGGATGCGTATGAAGTGGTGGAGGTGGTTGGAAACATGGGCATGCTGAGAAAACGGGCGGGTGTGGATGTGCGGAGGTACCGGGGTGCATATGAGAGGGTGGTGCTCGATGCACGCTGAGCCGGCACAGTGCATGCATTCATATGGATACATGGACGCCCTGGCAAGGGGCAGTGCGTGAGACAGTCAGCGTGTCTAGAGAGTGTACTGTATATGGTCTATCTGCACGTGGGGACGTGTTGGATGGAACACACCCATCAATGCCGCACGGATGGACTGACACATTGCATCATCAGTTCAACAACCTGTTTGGGGCGATTGCACTGCATATCTCATCGCCTTTTTCCTCCAAATGCAAGCAACCACTCTGTCTATATGTACACCTCCCTACATGTACCCCCATGGCCATCGTCCAGCCACTCTCTCACTCTAAGCATCCACTCCCCCGATCGCTTCCTTGCGCCCCTTGTTGCTGCTTCTGCCCTGCATCATGCAGCCATTCTTGCGTTGACGTGTGCCCTGAGGTCATCGTTTGGCAGCAGCCGCATGGCGATGTCCTCCACACGCTCTCGGATGTGCCGCACGCACCGCCCGTCCACCTCCTCTGTGGACGGCCTGCAGCCAGGGGGGCCGTACGTGTTGTACTCGAGCGGCTGTACGGACGCCGGGTTGATGATCCAGATGGGCACATGGCGCTTTGAAGCCAGCTCGAGCGCTCGGTCTGTGGCCTGTGTGCTGCATGACGTACCCACCAGCAAGAGCACGTCAGCCCAACGCATCCACTCCTGAAAAAAAGAGGGATGAAGGGAAAAAGAGGCAACACAACGCCATCATCCATGCACCCGTCCATTCATCAATCCATTCGCTGACTTACTGACTTGTGCTTTGTGCGCCTGGAAGGCTTTATGACACTCGTCTTCTTGATGGAACCCCAGTGACTCGTCGAACAGCAGCACCAGGGGCAGCAGGGCCTCTGTGCCACAATCGGGGCACGACCTGTGCTGGGTATCGACGATAGGGTCTCGTGTGGACCGATGGCAGGTCGTATTGCTGCACCGAAAGGCTCCGAGGCGGCCATGGATCTCAATGACGTGGTCAGAGGGACATCCCGCCTGCACCAGCAGGCCATCGACGTTCTGCATGGATGAATATCAAAATTGAACAAACATTGAAGGAAAGACACACCCATCGAATGCCATTCAGACTTCCTCCCCGTCACCTTTCTCCCCGTCACCAACTTGCTCACTTGGGTGATGATTTTGATCCTGCCGTTACCGTGTTCCGCCAAAACGCTAAGCGCAAAGTGCCCTACGTTTGGCTGTGCGTTTCGCCAGGCTGGTGTGTCGTGGATGTGCCGCCAGTGCCCCCATGCGGCCTCAGGGTCAGCGAGGAATGCCTGACGCCTCCCGCATCGTTCCTGTAATGCATGTAACCCACGAACAAACACACAGGCACGATTGAGTGAATTAGTTCTCCTGTCTGTGCACATGTGCACACCGCTGACACTGAAGTGTATGCATTCATACATTATCATACATACATAAAAGGGGTCAGCTTGTCCGCTCTCTGAGCGGTATAGAGGCACCCCAGATGCTTTGGAGAGGCCGGCACCTACAACATCGGTGCATTCCTCAGATCAAAAAGGCTTTGTCATGCGCCGACCATCCATCATCACCAACCTACCTGTGACGATGAGCACCTCGGTGTTTTCGTCATTGAGAATCACAGCCAGCGTCTCGGGCAGCGAGGCTGACCGCAGGGGCATTCAAGTGAGTATTAGTCCTCGGATTTAGATCCTCGTTATATATGTAGATCTCCATCATACACACAGCATGCTCACGAGGCTAATAAACGAACGAGCATCCTCGAGCTGCCGTGCGTTCGGGTCAGGGTGAAACGAAGCATGGGAAGATCCCCCCGTTTTTCTCCTCTCATGACGATGACACACTCATTGCAGAATCTGTTGTGTATACAAGGAATGCACTTCGAACCCGTATAGCGAGCTTTTAAGCGAGCTATCAGGGTTCCAAGTGCATTCCTTGTGAGGGGTTGAGGGTTTTGGATGGACAGGATGAGTATGTGGAGTGGACAGGGATTTAAGTAAGGTTTGACCATCGTCGTCCGATATGTAGACAAGCAATGTATGTATGTACAGAGCGACGCATCGCTGTCCGTGCAGACAAACACACGCATCAGTCTGCCCCTCCCTCCCTTACGCATTAGACACGCATCGGACAGACAGAGAGGAAGGCACGCACGACAGACACACGTACGCATCAGTCCGCCACGCATTAGTCACGCATTGTACAGACAGAGAAGCAGGGCGCCACACGCACGCCACTGACTTTTTGCATTACTGCTGTGCCATTTGCGCTGGCTAAGCACCTGCTTCTCCACACGGACCGAGGCAAAAGCCGGACAAATAGATGAAGAACTTTTCGATGTGTCGAGAATCGCACAGCAAAGCTCGCATCGGCTTCAAGCTCGCACGCATGCGAGGAATATGCCTCCTTGCCGTCGGTTCGCCCTCCCAGCGTCCCTTCTTGATCGCCCCTCAATGTATCACATCCAGCCCATCCATCGCGTCATCGTGAACTCCCCTCCCGGAAGAGATTCGTAAAGGGACTTCTTCCGCAGCTGTGAGCACGATGATCTCCGGAAAGGCCGGGAAGCCGAGTGGTGGACATATTGTAGGTACAGAGAAGCGTGTCAACCATTACCAGTCATATGAAGATATTGAGGGACTGCTCATGAATCTGGGTGGGAGAGTTACAAAAGCACTTGCATTTTGGGGTGTCATGCATGATTGCAGTCCATTCTTTGTTTTGTATGACCGTGTGTGCTTGTGTGCAGGTGTTGTTGCTGCACTAATGCTTGCCTTTTCTGTAGGCCTTTTTGCCACTATTGGAGCAGAGGAATGGCAGAGGGCTGACTTCTTCTCCGCACTTATTGATCATCACAGCAGAATTCCCGAAAACGAGCCTGCTTTCGGAGATTCCATTCAGGCAGGAAACGCTTAGAGGGGGCAACTTGGAGAAGAATTGCAGCAAGTTGCTTAACTTCATACACTCTTTCTTTCATTTCGCTCGGACAGGTGATGGAGACTGAGCAACCTTCCTTCCGATGGAATGCAACTTGGGAGGATGGAAGTATATTTGACGTCAAGACAGAGCTGAAGAATGCAATGGCTGATATAGCTAGAGGACCGCTTTCAATCGATGATGATCGTGTGAAAATTGCAGCTCAATTCCTTGAAGCGGACTTTCCGACACAGTAGAAGAGCTAGAAGTGCTAACCCATACTGATATAGATTGAATGCGGTAATTTTTCTTGTTCAGATATATGAGGGCTTGGCGCATAAGGAAGAAGAAAGAAATTAGCCACTTTCATGCCGGCAGCTCTACTATTATCCTCATTAGTGGTGGGTTGTCGACAGCATTCCTTACCCTTGCTCTCATCTCGTCCAATACGCTGTATCTCAGCCTTGGTAAGTGATATATGCATACATATCAATACGGATTCCTCATTCTCCCTTCTCCTTTCAACATTCTCTGCCTTTACTCTGTCGCTTGTCAACCAAAAACTTCCAGTCTTCTCTCAAGTTCGCCATGCTCCAGAGAAGGCTGCTATCTGGTAGCAGCTTGTAAAGTATTATCTCATTTTTTCCTACATTCTGCTGGCGCTTGGAATGATTCTTTTCTATATCACTTTGGGTGAGTAAAGGGATGGGAAGAAAGGATGATTTAGTCGAAAAAAAACAAGTATACAAACATAGGTGCTTTCCATTACCGCTTTCAGGCAATATCTTATGGGTCAGATTTCCTTTTCGACAGGATGTCTCTGAATACAGGCATAAACGAAAGAGTTTTCGCGTGTATGAAATGAGACTCTTTTCTTTTTCTTGATACCCTCATATTTCCTTCTGTCAAACAATCCAGCGACAAGATATCTATGTTTGGCATGTAAGTGTTACACGGATAACAGAGCACAGGACAGTGCAGTGCGTCTTTTGAAATATGGCGATGTCTATAATATAATATCATGTTTGCAGACTCATACCGATTTCAATGGTTACGATGACTATCGCAGGCCTAGCATATTGTGCTACGACTAAAGTCGGCCTCGCTTTCATGCAAAAGCGCTGCAAGCTATTAATTCAGAGCCGACCGAGAAGCAATACCCTTTGACAATCTTATACAGTACATATCTCAAGCGAATATGAACAAGAAAGTATTGATATCGCTGAGAGTAAATGTCTATTCTATTGAGACCGAAGTGTACAGCGAAGTACCTGTGGGATAAGAAATTGAAGATTGTTGCGAAGTGCTCACGATGCCCTTCGCCCCTGTCTGTGGCCCTGATGAAGGCGCTCGGCTCAGATGACTGGAAGTGTG